TATGTACCATACAAATAGTTACACAATCTATACTATATATAAAAGTGGGAATGCAATGTGATTTTTTTTTTGGACTAAAATTACCCTATACTTCTTTGTTTGAGAAAGGGTATAAAAGCCATTTTATTATAGCTTTAATGCCAGCTTTGTTGGTTACTAAAATGACTATAATTGTGTATTTAGTCCATCTCTAATGGTAAGAGTTAAAAATGTAACTTCAATTATTACATCCCACCCCATTTAATCCGCTCTCATTAAGTCTTATAATTAAATTATTAACTTTCATTTTATCTTATTAAATCTTATATTTAAGTTGTTTTTTTACTAATAAATGCCACTAATTAGATCTATGTCAATATTTTTAACAACATGAACTCAATGAAAATGAAATACATAATTCAAAACTGAACACAAAATGAAATTATTTTATTGTTTGACAAAAATCAATAGTTCAACTTTTGTGTCAAGTATGTTAATATTTAATGTCATAAATAAATAATAAAAATTAATAAAATATAAAAATATAAAAATGAAAAAAATACATAAATTTTGCAAAAAAGAAAAAAACATTTAGGCACATGTATAATATCATATAATTATCATATTAAACAAAAGTAAGTGTGATATATCAAAATTATTTTACATACAGAAATACAAAAAAATAGAAAAAATTGAACACGTCTATAATTCTATATTTACACTACTATTAAAATACGAATAAGATTGTGGAAATTTTTTTGACTAAAATACTCATTTTTTAATTTAGTCCCTATTTAATTATGATGTTTAAATTGTAAACTAAACTACTACTATTCACATTATTCCCCTCTATTTAAATCTTACATTTTTTTTTATAAATGAACAAAAAAAGATACACCAAAAAGACTAAACATTACAAAAAGGAGAATCTAGCGAAGTAGGTAGGTCTATCAATGGCATTTGAAACTTCACAACTCGATCCAATTATCACATATTTGAATGAGGTGTTTATGTAATCAGATTTGGATTTTGCAATCTACATCCGATTAATAATAAAAAAAAATAAAAGTACATATTTATAAAAATTTGCAAATACATTATTACTATCATTATCGTCATGTAGAATTGCCATGTACAAAGTACATGCACGCTTAATAGTAATATAAAATAGAAGGTTTTGTGCTCTACATATTTACATTTGTACTCCTTTCAAATGGAGCCTAAAGTTGGGTTAATTATCATACCCTTGAATATTTCTTTCGTTTAATTATAATTATTTTATTTATTATATACGGGGGGCTTTTAATTCATCAGAGATAACTTTTTCTATTAATATCAACTTGCCATTATTAGAAGATATTAAAAGTAAGTTTGGTTTTCCATTTACAGAACAGCTTTGATAAGTAAACTTAAGAAAATTATGCTAATTATGATAAGAAAAGTCCTCTAAGGTTCAAAATTTTCCATTTATCAGGATATATCAGGCATATCGTATCGTATCGGCCCCATCCTGAAAATCTAAATATAAACTATTATATGTTTTTAATATTTTTATGGGGTAGGCCTTGCTAAGACCAGCCCCAAAATTAAAAATAATAAAAGAAAAAAAGAAAACGTGTGGGTCAAACCCCCCATATGCATTTTGTGCGTATCCAATTGTATGATAGTATGATACTTTGAACCATGCTCTTTGACAAATTAACCAAACACCCACCTATAGATAAGGTGATAAATCATTCAATTCAGCCACTTCAGCCATTACCAAACGATTCAATAGGTGTATATTTCTGATTTATTTTTCCTATCTAGTCCAGGAATGTGACTAATAATTAGGGTGAATTGGGAGGAAGGTTTTAATATTCGTTAGAAAAAGAGAGCTAAAGAATTTATAATATATATATATATATATTTAATTTGATTGTTGTAATTAAGTCAATGAAGCTAGGAAGACATTAATAGACTTCTATAGCCATATTCAAGAGACTTATCATGGAACGATATTGACTAGAGAAAACTTGTACTGCACACCAAGTATGGTAGAGGGAAGATGGGGTTGTGATCAACAGAGAGGGTGCAAATTAACACTGCTACCTCCCCTATAAAAACTCTCGACTCTATCAGGACAAAGTGAGTGCTTTCCTCTTCTTTCCTGGGTAATAGTGATTAGTGAGCCAGAGAACTAGCAATCAAAAACTCTCTAATCAGGTCACCATGATGAGGATTTTGTCTATCAACACTCTGGTAGTGTTGTGGTATATGTTTGTAATTTTCTGGTATTCTTTCAATTTGTTCCAATGGTATCTGCAGGAGAAGGAGAGGGGAGGCCTAGGAGATGACATTTGCAAATGGGAAGGTGTTTCATGTAAGCTGCCTGTGCCTGTGGTGATGGTTCTAAATTCAAGCAAAGGATTTCCCTAGCAGCTTCATTGATCACTGCTCCAAGGCCATATATGGTATGAGGGAAGCATAGCTTTTGAATGGAAATTTATCAGACAAATCAATCAGGCGTGGATTCATGGAGACCAGCACCATTACATCATTACGCAGCTCTCATGAAATTTACAGGGGATTCTGAAAGCAAAACTTTGCAATTTAGGCCCATCTCTCTTTGGGTTGAAATTAATGGGAGAAGACAACAGAGGAGCTTCTCCAATTTCTCTTAACTGTAATCAATGTCCAGTTTTTTCACTTCATGGAACATTCCATTAGCTTTTCTTAGAAAGAGTACTTTCTTTTTTTTTTTTTTTTTTTTTGGGTGAAACTTCGGGATTGGTTTTGGAGGCACATGCAAGGTTTCACAGTCTTAGAACTTAGAAGGTGGTGGGACCTATGGGCCCAATTAAGGATAAATTAAATGAGATTTTTTGTTTTCATGCTATGTTTGGTTAAAATTATTTCTGCTCCAAGCAATCATTGTTTGAACAATGAGTTTCAATAAAAAATGATTTTTTAAACTCCAAAGAAACCAATTCTTTACAATGGGTTCTAAGCCTAGAAATAGAAGAATCAATAATTAGTTCCAGCAATTAATCTGAAAATTCACCAGAATTAATTCTCTGAAATCATGCCAAACGCAGCCTTTAGCCACCACACAATCTGCTGATTTACCTTTTTTCTAATACTAGCACGTACAGATGTATTGACCATCAGAATTAAATGCAATCGCTCCCAACATTGTAGAAGGCAGTTAAATACCATCTTTATTGTTTCTATTCTCTGTTTGGCGAGGGGATCAAAAGAGAGAATTAAAAGAACTAACAAATGCTGAAGCAAAGGCATCCATTTCCCGCTGGTTGAGAGTCAAAGTAATCTCAACCCCACCATCTCCATTACGCTCTCTGCTAGAAAAACGACTCCAGTCGCATCCGCATCAATTGGAGTCCGCATCTGCTAGTCCTTTGGATCAGCATCTTGCTAGTCCCCACCAATAAAACAGATTACCTTTGAAAACTCTTATACTCTCCTCCCTGAACTGTGGACCGTGAATCCAGCAGTGGATGGCAGCTAGGGGTGGCAATTTTTCATCCAACCCTTTGAACTCACCCAATCCACCCATTATCTAATTTATTCAATTCACTCGTTTACTTGGTTGGTTGGAAATGGGTTTGATTATTCATTGGGTCAATTTAAATGGGTTGGATTGGGTTAGGTTGTGGATAATCATTGGGTTAACATTAAAGATATAAGTATTAATTTCTTAGCATTTTTTAATTTTCTTCATTTGAATGAAATAATTTCTAGTTAATGCATAAATTTTCTATTAATTATTGACTAAAATTAGTTTTGTCTCAAATCAACACACTTCACCCAAATCGACATTAATCCAAATCAACTTGACCCGAGTCCGGACCAGCTCAACTTGGTCTAAATATGAACAGACCCGATCACCTCGGTTCAGCTTGTTTGGGTCAGTTAGCCCGATTCGAACCTGACCTGAATCCGAATTGGGGTGGGATGGTTCGGTCTGGACCCGATCCCTCCCAACCCAAAAGCCACCCCGTTGCTTTGACCGGTTTCGATTGTCTAGTCCGACGCGTATCTGTACAACCCAACCCAAATTTGGACATGTCCAATTTACTTCTCCTGACCCACTTCGAGCCAGTCGGTTCGATCTCAAACCCATGTACAAACTTGATATGGGCTGGTCCAAGTCAACCTGCTTTTTGACTGAACCTGCATGGTCTGGTTTGATTGGACTGATCCGGATCTAAACGGTTCAACCACTCTTGATGCGATTAGCTCGAAGACAATCCAATTAGATAATTCAAGTTGGTCTGACCGGTTTGAACCTAAGTGGTTCAATCAAGCCCGAAACCCAAACATAGTCAAATGGCTTCATTACTTGTGTAAAAATAACATGCATATACTGTGATACGAACCTTCACCACTTGTGTAAATAGCAACCTTCACCACTTCTCACTGTCTCTCTTAGTTTGATCTACTATTATTTTATAGAAGGTTTCTTCGGAGTTTTTTCAACTTTATTGATTGCAGTTTCTCACCCAATGCTCTATTGTATCTTAGGAACGAATTTTCCTGTAACCCAACGACATTCAATGAAACTGAGTGGGGGAAAATAATGTTCTAAAGACAATGTCTTTAGATATGCATGAGAACTTCTCTTTCAAGTTTTTGTAACCCTAATTTCTAACAAAATGATTAGTACCAATATTGTTGTTTCAATGTTTCTACCTGAAACATCAAGTTGAAGTTTTAAAGACAACATCCCACGCATGCATTTTTAAGTTAAACATGTTTCAAATAACGATTTTATGCCAATTTGTAGTGATCAACCCAAAATGTTTCAGGTAAAAACAGCAGTGACACCAAACACAACCTAAATCATTTAGAAACCAGAGGGATCGCTTAAGAATTTGTCTAAAACCATAGGGGTTGTTTAACTATATATTTATCCCATGATATTACAAAGAAAAAGTTTGAGTATTTATCCTATAACGTTGATCATGCTATACTGCCCATCTAGAAAACAATAAATAAATAAATAATTAATTATGCTATAATATATATACATCAAAGATAAGTAAAGTGGAAGAGCAGCTTCAGACATCATTCCCACCTCAATTGTGACTTAAATCCAAATCGTAGAAAATATGTTTGAAGTGTTCGACCTGCTCATCCACCAGTGCAAGGAATACATCCACATCTCCTATCTCTTTGCAAGAAGGAACAAATACCATTAAGCCTTCAGCAGGCAAATATGGGGGCATAAAAGTACAGGGCGCTCCGCCACCAAAGTCAAGATCATGAAAGCAGAACGTCAATCAGCTATCCACCTCCAGGTTAGGACACGCTGCGTTTCCGGCCTCCAGCACCATCACTACCAACTCACCTTCTTTTCCTTTCCATAACTCTCCGAAATCAATAAATGACTGGAAGTACTCATGGTCAATTTTAGCCACGGCCTCATGGATTGCCTTAGCAACGTAGGCATGGCTCTCCTGCAACAAGTCCTTCACCCTCAGCCTTGGGTAGGCCCAGAGCACCAAGTTGCCGAAGTACTCCTTGGGCACCGGCGGATTCATTCGGTCTCGGCCATTCACCGCCACTCTGACTTGGGTGAACTCATCCTGTTCAAGCCCCTGGGCTTGTGTCATCTTCTTCCACATATGTGAAAGGATGCACTCAAAAAGTGCTGTAGCATTTGCCTCCTTGGCGCACCTTTGCTTTGAGCTTGGTTACAAACTCAGCTGAAAGATGGACGACCAGATTGACAGTGGGGGATGATAGAAGTTCATTGGTGTTTGATGAAGCAGTGTGCTTTCTGAACTCCATGGAAGGGTGGTCGAACTCAGATTTGGGTGGGTTTCTTGGGACAGAAACAGCATCTCGGTGGTGATAGGGAAGTGGTTCAATGTCAAGTCCGCGCACCAAGTTCGCCCATGAGACAGTGAAGTATCTCATGGACTGGCCATCGGCTACACGGTGGTGTGAACTCAGGCCTAGCACGAGCCCATCACAGGCATAGCGGTTTAGCTGAACCTGGAGCAATTCTTCCACACCTTCTAGGGGTGGGAGGAGGTTTTTGCCAACCTCTGAAGCTGGAGTGAAGGGGAGTTGCTCCGCCAGTGTGATTGGAACGTAAGTCTCAATTACCCGGACACCAGCGTTGCTTAGAATGATGCAAATGCGGCCTTGATCGTCAGTCGTGAACCGACCGGCGAGATGGGGGTAGTGAGCAAAGGCTTTGGAGAGTCCTTCCTTGATGGCTTCGTTTGACGGTAGAGGTGCCCGGAAGGCGTATAAGATGGGGACATGGAGATCAGAGGCTGCTCTGTCAAAGATGGTGAGAGGTACCAGAGCATTAGAGGTGGTATACTCTGACGAGGGAGAAGCTTTCAAGATGGTATCATTGATCAACTCAATAGCCTTGTCTGAGTTTTTCCTAGAGTCTCTGGGTTTTGAAGGCCAGAAAGTTTGCTAAGGATTTATTAATTAATTAGTGCTCTTCCACTTCCAACTTCCAAGCTAATATAGAAAAATTAATATTAACATCTAATTTCTTTTCTCCGTCGTATTGACCTCGAAGGCGGGGTGGGTTTTGAGTCGAAAAAATGTGGAAGACCGACCCATTAAATTTTGAGTGTTGATTTCTTATCTCCTCGGTGTGAGAATTGGTGGCTGTGGATTGCAGATAGGCTTGCAGGTTGCAGCTAGAGTCAATTGACTTGATAGTTTCATACTTTAATTTCGATGGCGAAGCTTCGTAGATGAGTTATATATAATCAGTGACTATCAATGACTACTATACTAACTAGTAGCAAGAAAGTCTGCTCATCAGATGGATACGCTCAATCCACCGACCCTCGTGTTTCTGGCTCTGCTATTAGTTTACTTAATAGTCAAGATTGATTATGTTTTCTAGAAAAGAAAAGGAGAGAAAAAGCATGCAAACAAGACCTTAACGTCAACTCCTGACGTCTTATAACAATTACCCAGAGCCTACGTTCAGCACAAAATAACAAGTTTCCTGTTGTTGTTGGTGACGGTGATAACAGCACGTAAAGAAAACGTACTAGCTAGGTAGGTTTTTCAACACCTGTCTGCTTCACTCGTATTCTAGGCTAGAGCTCGGAGATGTTCTCAACCTCCATTTCTACGTTCTTTTGATTTGAACGTTGTGGTCATTATTTACTGGGGTGGCAAATGGGTAGATTGGGTTGGGTAAGAGTTGATTAGTTCACCCATATTGATTATCCAATCCCTTATCACCCATCATCAATTTTTTTAATGGGTCATAATTTACCCTGACTTGACCGACCTTGATTCATCTATATTGATTTCTTTGATTAATCTATAGTGACTTTAACCCACCCTCATCCATATTGATCCATTTACCCTCACTTATAGATGCAAAAATGAATCACGTTGACCGGCATATTAGGAAAGTAGTATTAATTAAGAGAATAATTTCTCTCGAGATTATCATACGACAGAAATGACAGGGAAGGAGAGGAAGAGGAGTTTAGAAACGTTGTAAACTGTTTTAAAGTGGAATTTGTGGATTTTTGAGGAAAGTTTTTTTGTTTGTGCTTATTGGGTTAGGGTAAGTTATTGTTGTGGTTAGGTGGGCTGGTGTGGCTTAGTTTGGGCCTGGTTTTTGACCTTGGGCTTTAAGAGCATGTCTAATTTCGGTTGGACCCCTTTTCAAATCCTTTTGTCTTTTATAATTTTTTTTTATCTATCTTAGAAAAAAAGAAATGGTTGGGTCGACCTGTATACCTAGAAAATTGGTTTTTTATGAGAATCGTCTCTTAAGATAGATGCATGACAAAAATGGGTTGGACCAACTCATATATCCAAAAACAGCTATTTAAGAGAATAGTCTCCCTTGAGACTGTCAGATGACAGAAATGAGTTGGGTCAGCCCATACATTGATACACCCAGACAACTAATTTTCAAGAGAATCATACTACCATGTGACAGAAATGGGTTGTGTCAACCCATATACTCGGAAAACCAGTTTTTAAGAGAATCATCTCTAAAGACTACCTCGTGAGTCATGACAGAAATGGGTCGGGTCGACATGCATACCCAGTTTTTAAAAGAATCATCTCTCTAATAGAAAATTACAAAAAATACAAAACTTTGCAATAAAAATTGTAGAAAGTGCAAAAACTGTTGCAAAAAATTACAAAAATTTGCAAAAAAGTGTACAAGTTTTGGAAGATGCCAAAAAGGGAATTAGAAATATTCCTTGCCAAATAACTCGTTTCATCAAATTTTGCCAAGTCCTGATCATGTCATTTACAGAGAAAAGAGCAGGGGAAAAAAATCTATAGCCTTCACTTGTGTGGAACCTTTAATTATGACATACAATAAAAGGCTCCAATTTTATGAGGGGTGGATCCAAATCCAAGAAAAGGCTCTCCTTTCCCTTTATGATCCAGATAAAATATTCTCTATCAACCAAAAGAAAAAAAAATGTTTCTCATATAGTAACAAAAAGGCATGTTTGAACATTTTCATTTTCATCAGTCTCTACTACTAGGTTGCAGGTGAACCAATCCATTCATTGATATTTACAAAAACTACAATAAAAACATAGAATTGTATAACAAGGTACTTGTTTTGATAATGAATAAAAACTACAAAAAAACATAGAATGGCAGCCCAGAGAAACAACACAGAATTAACAATTTACAAGAACACCACAAGCCCCAGACTTAACAGACTGAGACAAGAGCCAAGCCTACTATCAATTTTAAAAAAAAAAGTGATGAAATACATACCCAACTCAGAGGGGCAAACCCCAGCCTGAGAGCATGTAGACATACAATTGGCTTTTAACAAATTGGGATCTTGAACATTCAAAACAAATACACATAAGTAGTTGGTTGTCTTAAATCTGATATGATATGGTTTGACTAGTTCTATACACACAAGGAAGGGAGGACAATTATAGCCATGGATGCTGGGCTATATGAACGTTACACCGAATTCAGAAATTGTCTAGAAAGCACTCTCAAAGAGTTGCTGGGAGAGGAAGGCTCTGAGAGTGTCGTTGTTTAACATTCCAATGATGGCTCGGGTGTTGGAGCTTCCCTTCTTGCAGCCTCTCACTCTCCAGTATCTTGAGATTGAGGACTCATGAGAATGATCAACAAGAAACCAGTAACATATTGCGGAGGAAATAGTGAATTTTCATTACTTCTTTAACCATTTCTTCTTCCCTTTATCCACTTGTTTTCTTTATTTATGGCTTTGCAGAATATGATTATGAAAGGTAGATTAAATGTATAATTGCAGGATATGATCTTCAAGGAGATATTGCATGAACACCAAAAAAGTCACCATCACTTTTTATCATATTATATATATATATATATATATATATATATATATATATATATATTCCACCTGTCATGTTTTTCAGCTATTTGCTAATGCTTATTTCAACTTCAGACCTAAAATTCTCTCTATGATTCAACCTAGTAATTAAAGAGCACAAGCAACCCTGTGTAAAGTCCCAGGCATGATGCTCCCAAACTTGTTCACATATGTCCATTTCTACATGTTCTTCTGTTTTCGGACCTTTAGGTCGAGTTCACATCTGCCCCCCCGCAGAATGCACCCCAAATATGCCCCACATGCACATCTCAGTGTGCATTGAGAACATCTTCCATACTTGTCATTGGGAAATGTTCCCAATACACGGTTGGGCTGTATTATGGGACGTTTTTGGGGCGTGCCCAGTAGGGGGCAGATTACAAATAACTACTTTTTATAATTCCTTTTGTTTTCAATTTATTTCAATTTAGGGTATGAGATGTTCGACCATGATAAAAGAATGGTAACTAATCAAAATTCATCTCTCGGGTTGGGATAAGGTCAAAGCCAGGCTTGGGCGGGTTTGGGCTATCTAAGGTCTAGGCCTGAACCTATCCTATGCCCGAACTTTTGGACCCAAGTTCAGGGCTCAGGTTGGGCCAGCCCGAGATACATACCTAATGAATACGGGTTGGGATAAGGTCAAAGCCAGGCTTGGGCGGGTTTGGGCTATCTAAGGTCTAGGCCTGAACCCATCCTAAGCCCGAACTTTTGGACCCAAGTTCAGGGTTTGAGTTGGGCCTGCCCAAGATGCATACCTAATGAATACGGGTTGGGATTAGGTCAAAGCCAGGCTTGGGCATTTTGGCTATCTAAGGTCTAGGCTTGAACTCATCCTAAGCCCAAACTTTTGGATCCAAGTTCAGGCTCGAGTTGGCCTGCCCAAGATGCATACCTAATGAATATGGGTTGGGATAAGGTCAAAGTCAGGCTCGGGCGGGTTTGGGCTATCAAAGGGCTAGGCCTGAACCCATCCTAAGCCCGAACTTTTGGACCCAAGTTCAGGCTCAAGTTGGGCCTGCCCAAGATGCATACCTAATGAAATATGGGTTAGGATAAGGTCAAAGCCAGGCTCGGGCAGGTTTGGTCTATCTAAGGTCTAGGCATGAACCCATCCTAAGCCCAAACTTGTGGACCCAAGTTCAGGCTCAGGTTGGCCTACCCAAGATGCATACCTAATGAATATGGGTTGGGATAAGGTCAAAGCCAGGCCCGAGTGGGTTTGGGCTATTAAAAGGCTAGGCCTGAACCCATCCTAAGCCCGAACTTTTGGACCCAAGTTCAGGTTTAGGCTGGGCCTGCCCAAGATGCATTACCTAATGAGTATGGGTTGGGATAAGGTCAAAGCTAGCTTTGAGAGGGTTTGGGCTATCTAAGGTCTAGGCTTGAACCCATCCTAAGCCCAAACTTGTGGACCCAAGTTCAAGCTCAATCAGGTTAGGCCTGTCCAATATGCATACCTAATAATACAAGTAGTGATAAGGTCAAAGTAGACATGTTCATGGGCTGGTCCGGGGCGGGCTTTCACTCTGTATTAACAGAATTTTCTAAGGCCCGAGTCTGAACTTGGCCCAACCATAGGGCCTACAACTTGGGCCCGAGCCCGACCCTCATAAAAAGTCCAAAGCCTGGGCCTGGGCCCAAGCCTGGAATTTAGTCCATATTGTTAGCAGTTGAATAGAGAGAGAGAGAGAGATTATAAAAAAAGAATAAAAAATATATATATTAAATTATAAATATATATAAAATAAATATTATATATTTTATAAAATATATAATGCTGAGTCGGGTCGGGCCGGGCCGAGCTTTTTTGACAAATCCTGAGCCCGACCCGAAACATAGTCGGGCTTACTGTGTTAGGCCCGAGGTCAGGCCCGTATGCCTAATTACATGACCAAGCCCGACTGGGATGCGGGCTGGGCCGGGTCAGGCCGGGCCATCGGGCTACCTGGCCCATGAACAGGTCTAGGTCAAAGTTAGACTCAGGTCAGATTTGGGCTATTTAAGGACTAGGCTTGAACCCAGGAAGAGCCCAAACTTTTTGGACCAAGTCCAGGCTCGCATTGGCCGTTGGGCCTGCCCAAGATGCATCCCTAGTGAATCCAACAACCTCTCTCAATCTCTCATTTGTAAGGTCAATGGACCTCATGTATTGAAGTCTCTCAATCTCTCAATCTTAATAATATTCAAATTTGAATAAATCTTATCCATTGAAATTAAAAGTAACTTACTTGAGCTTATGAACTTCTAATGAAAATACAACATTTAAATAAACTTAATTAAGAAAAAGCATATGAACTTTGTATCAAAACATTATCTGACTTGGGTGTCATTTTGTTGCTATGAAGTTTAATGTTTGGAAAGAAAAAATCTCTAAAAGAAAGTATTTTTAAAGTGTTATTTTTTGTTTTATCTATTGTTTGAATACAGAGAATGTTGTTTTGAAATTTGAATCCCAAATCTGAAAATGGTTACTTTAACATATTTCCCTCATAGTTGATTATGAGTATGGATATTTATGTTAATGAAAATTAATGATAATTACCATTACTAAAACATTAATAAAATCTACATAAAATAAAATACTAATTGAAATAATAAAAAGTAAATTATCAGGTAATAAAATATTACTAAATTAAAGCAATAGTAAAATAATATTATTTTATTTTAATAAGAAACTAATCATAAATAATATTATCAGCATAAAGATATTTTAGTATTAATATTTTATTATTTTAATAAGGAAACATTAAAATATGTAAA